AGTCAAAGTACATGCTTTTCATTGTGATGTAATCTACTTACTTATAGCTTTGAACCTGAACGATTACTTATCACATTTACGTTCACATGCAGTTCACATTCTGTAAATGAGGCAGACACACATGTAAAATATGGCCATAATTCCAGTGTTTTAAATCAGCTGTTTTTGCCTGATATCAGAATTGTCAACTCGTTACACTCTGTTTTCATCTGTATCGGCCTCATCCTAACGTAATTTTAAAGGTGCTGTATGTAAGAATGTGGCCAAAACGGTTACTGCACTCAAATTCAAAATACTGCCGCGAGTCGTGTCCGCCCCCCCTCCCCTACAGATTCGAGGTTGCTGGACAGCAACACGCTGGAGACTGATTTGTTTGCCCACAGGCGGCTGCCGTGGCAGGGCCGCGTCGCCGCGTCCTTGATCTTCGGTTTTCCAGCGGACCGTTCGAGCAAGTCCAGCTTCTCTGCTGCTAATGCTGCTGCTAACGCTGCTGCCGGGATACAGCAGAGGAGGAGCCGGCTGCTAATGCTATGTACCAGGACACTGCTAATGCTGCTTGCCGTGCTGCTGTAGCTCAGTCTTAACTGTAACTGATGCTGAGACTCTACTGACTGCGTGACTGGTAGACAGCGGTGGGTGGCGCAACAGGCCTAAACACAAATTCAAAACATAAACATGATTTGCGGACTGTAAAAATTTTTTTTAAATGCGAATATTCTGGCTGTACTTTTGTTGTCGTTGAGATCAGTATGTTATATGAACATTATTCCTTAGTCTCTGTGACATATTAGGATGATTTTACGACTATTTGCTTTAGATTTCTTACATATAGCTCCTTTAAGTCCACACCGATGCATAGCTGTGTCAGCAGACCTGTTTTCCTGGGTTTTAAGACTGGAGCGGAGCTAAGTAAAACAAACTACAATGTTTAGCGGTATTGAGAAGAACTGTCGATTTATAACAGCCTCAATAGCAGTGTCTCCAATGTCTAAAGCGCTTGCCTTTTTTGTTATTATTCCTCATTGATCCACTTGCCAATTCTTGACAAGAGCTTGACAACAGTGTCAGTGCCGCCTGTAGTCTTTTTCAGTCTATAATAAACAGTACAATTGACTCACAAAAAATTCAGATAAACTGTCTAGACAGGAAATATTCCTACACCTATTTTCCTTACTTAACAGAGAAATACAACCACACACTTTCTGAATTAATGTTTTCTCTTTTTTTTTAGAACATGTTAACTTTTGTTTTGCTTTAGAAAACAGCCCTGAAGAAAGCTCTTTGCTCCGCTCCGCTCCGCTCGGCCCTCTCTTAGCCCTTAGCAGCCCCAACCCCCCACCCCCCCATGCACACGCTGCAATTATCCCCGGTCGTCTTTCCAAACGTGTTTGATGTCATCGGGTTATTCTTGTCCTATTTTTATTACTTTTACTATTATTTCAGTCACTGTGTCTGTTCATGTGCCAGCTGAAATGTTATTGTGGTCACCTAAAAAGCCCCAGCAGGTGGCAGGAGCTCCATTTGAGGTACCTTACACAAACATACAAGTCACTGAATCCTCCACAATAAGTTCCTACAAATGTTTCACAATAAAGGCCTATTTAGAAAATGGAGGGATTCTCTCAGCCGAGGTTATAAGGGGCTTTTAATTTGAAACACATTCAGAAAGTGTTGAGTTTGAAATGATGGCGCGATGCATTAACTTTATCAAGGCAAACAGGAGCGGATAAAAAGTAAAAATATAAAGATACAGAGGGATTAATAAATAACGGCCCTTTTATAATGTAGTCTTTTCAAATGAAGCTGGTAGCCTCTGCAGTTGTGGTGAGTAAAAGCCCCACCACTATTTTTTAATTTTTTTACTTTAAGTCATCTGGTGAAAATTCTATTTTTTAATGTCGCAATATATATTGCAAAAGTAATAATAATAATAAAAAAATCGCAATGTCAGTTTTTTCCAATATCGTGCAGCCCTAGTATTTAATATTCATTCATTGTGCAAAATAAGAAAAAGCATGTTGGCAGATTCCGATAGTTCATTAAGCCAATATCGGGCAATACCGATGATGTGCCGGTGTTATTGTGCATCCCTAATTTTCCAGCTAAATGCTGCTCCATCGTGATGGTCTCGTGAAACTCATCACCTCTGAGGTGCTTTCAGGGATGTTGTTTTGCTGCAGGCTGACGCAGAAGTTAGCATCACCCTGGTACTCTTGTCAAAAAGCCTATGCGATTTTTCAATTTGATTTTAGATTATTGCACAAAAAAAGCTCTGTGGCAAGCAAACCTTTATGGTACTTGCACATTTAGTTCAGCAATGTTCATAAATGAACACCACTTTATTATTTTTGAAGCCTGAATGCAATACCTAGAATTAAGAAGCTAATGTTAGGCTACAAATGACCTACATCATGGTAGCATGACTTTACAATAAGGCTGTGAAGCCGTCAGTGTTTTGCGTGATGGCATTCTGTAGTCTTTTTTAGCCACTTGCTTAAAATGTGAGGGAACCATCTTGAAGTCAACCACCACTCAAATACCAACTCATTTCTGGGTTTTAGGAGTCAGGGGCACTCTATTTGCAAGAATCATGAACACAACCAATCAGAGGCGAGGGGTCTTTGACAAGGTTGTCAATCATGTCAATCACTGCTCATGAACTGTGGTCAGACTGTTAAACTAGGCAGCGTTGATCAAATATCAAGATTATGTTACTGCATTGTCGATTTCTCACCTCAGACATTTTCATTAAGTATGGCTTAAAGCTAAAGTATTCTGTGGTGGTTCCACAAACATGAGTAGCTTCAGTAGTGTGGAATAAACTGTGGCGTCCTGTAAGTTTTATTAACAGCCCTGGACTTCTCAGACCAGGGGCGATTCTAGGATCGGAGGTTTAGGGGTGCAGAGCACCCAGAGAGCTGCCCGGCCAGGCAATATAAATTTCACTGTTTTGTACATTTTAACTCAATTTCATTCCCACATTTGTGAAAGAAAAGCACAACACTTTTTGGGAAAGTCTGTGACTAAACCATCAAATCTGATAAAGGTTATTTAAATGCTGAGCCACAGCAAAAGAGGAATGGATTGGAATCATAAAAGAAACATATCGTAACCCTAATTTCTGGGGGAGGATAACTCTTTTGATACAGCAGCTCCTCAACATACACATAAACAGTATGTATGTTTCTGGAGTAAACCAGCCCCCTATAGTGAGTACCAAAAATACCAAAAATGGACCTTGGGCTTATTTTTTGGACTTTTATTTGAAATGCAGTGCACAACATGTAACATTAACACATTAACAGTAATTGACTTTTTCAATGTTTGTCTCTGCCTTTTTCCTTCTTGTCTGTATTATATAATACAAATACATAAATAAAAATACACTTCAAAAAAGAAAAGTGCTTGAAACACATGCACATGACATGACAGCTAGCTTCTCTCATTCCAATTCAAACAGAGGACAGTGGTACTGACCACCTGTAACGTTTCCTAGCTAGAAAAAATGTCAACTCCTGCCTAACAACATAAACAGTGACCTACGATTATGAATGCTGTATTTTTGTTGTTAAAATATTACGTTTCAACCAAGTACTGTATGGTTTTGACACTTTTCTAGCTTGTTAAAAAGGGACATACAGTAAAAAAAAAATCTCTCAAATTTTAGGGGTGCCTATGCCTATAACGCCTATGTCTCTGACTCTTTAAGCCACTTACCGCTCAGAGGGAACTCTGTCTCTCCTTCTCCTCTCTCACCGTGTGCACACGGGAGTTGGTGTCCTCAAGTGATTTTGTCATAAACCTTTGGTAATGTAAACCTCTGTTCGCGGCTCAACAAAAAAAATACATACATGTGGATGTGGAATAGGTATGGTAGCATAACAGCAGCCTGTCACAGGTGAAACAGCATGGTGATTAGAAGAGAAATGACAGAGCATAAAGGTCCATGTGTCAAAAAAACAACTCAATCATTTAGGATTTTGCTAAAAGAGAAGGAAGTCACCTGTTGATTTATATACATAGATCTCAGGGTACATTTTTCGTATTTGGGACCTGTTTAAATGTGTCATTTGTGGTAGATTTTATTTTGTTGAACATTTGATTTTGTATACAGAATCTGAATCTCACTTTGAGTTACTGTTGTTAACAAACTAAAGAAATTAGGAATTTTTGTTCAGTTTTTACTGAATATTTGCAGGAAACTGTTAGGTTGACATGTAAAATTAAATCACTTATTTGCTTGCATTTCTACCTTCTTAGATTAATAGTAAATTTTTTTTCACTAATTTGTCATAACATCAAGAGTATCGTTATTGCAAAAATACCCTGAAATATTGTGATATTATTTTAGGGCCATATCGGCCACCCCTAGAGTACACCAAAATATGTCTCTGAAAACATTTGAAATCTCCAGCTTCCAGGGGGCAGCCCTAACTGCACTGCCTACCTTGCACTGCATATGTTTTCAGAAACATATTTTAGTGTAATGTTTGGCTGTGAAATGAGAAAGTTTGTGGCCCTGCCGCCATGTCGAAAACAATTGAGTGAAAATTTTGCAATTTAGTCAACTTTCTTATGTTACAGGTAAACAGTCACTAAAATATGTTTCAGAAAACATTTGAGGTGAGAAATTGACAATGCAGTTTGACCGCAGTTCATGAGCAGTGATTGACATGATTGAAAAGTGCTCTTTTTGAATTGACCTGTGATTGGCCAAAGTCTCCCTGCACAGGCTAGATTTTCACAAGCCTGAAAACAGAGCCAAGAGCAGGTGCAAAAGTGTAGTGTTCTTTCACACCACCTAAATTACAATATGCTCAAAGATTATTATGAGATTTTTGCCCAATGATGCCAAAAATTAAACTGCATACCCCAGCTTTAATCACATTTACTTAAATCTAAAAGTAACTAAAAAGTCCAAAGACTTCTGATTTGTGGTGACTGCACAGAATACTTGGAAGAAAATAAGGCAAACCTGAAAGTCTTGGTGTTCCCCACAGGGTGGTTCTGCAGAAGGTGCAGGTACATCGACTGCCACAACAGCAGGGAAGACTCCTCCTCAGAACGATTCAAAGAGTGTCATCCTGCAAAACACCAGGATCACTACAGGGAAAACCAACACTGTGGACATCACCTTTGTGCCAAAAACGGTAGGGCTTATCACCACTTACTGCAGTATGCCTCAATATACTGTACTTTCATTACACTTCCTGTCTTAACATGCCTTTCAAAAAATCCAACAAACTACCTGTGAAGTGCATCTTGACAAATTTTGATACATTCTGAAGGCCTTATAACTCATAGGTATTGCTGCTGAATAGGATCAAAATATGCAAATGTTTAAAGGGATTATTATTTACATTTATTTCACACTCAAGATAAATATGTTCCCAATCCACAAACACTTGAACAGGGTGTTTTAGTGATAGTAATTAACAACACAAGCTTGTAATGAGCATTTGAACACACAGTCCATTAATGCATATGTTAGAATCATCATTTGAGCAGCCTGCCTCCTCACTCAACAACTTTCACTAACTGTGTAGAAAAAGCAGTGGAGTTATGGTACCACAAGCACACTTATCCAGTATTCCCGCCAGTTCAGTATTGTGTCCTGCTTAGTTTTATGCCTCTGCATTGCAATAGCCGTGGCCAGAGGCATTATGTTTTCAGGTTGTCTATACATGCATCTGTCGGTCCGTTTGTCTGTCTGTCCCATTCTCATGAATGCAGTATTGCCTTGGGTGAGTTTCCTCAAATTTGGCACAAACATCCACTTGAAGGATGAACTGATTAAAATTTGGTGGTCAAAGGTCAAGGTCACTGTGACCTCATAAAACATGATTTGGGCCATAATTCAGGAATTCATACACTAATTATGACAAAATTTCCCAAAGTTGTGTGAAGACAAAACATATAATGATGAAGTGAAGATCAAAAGGTCAATTTCACTGTGACATCACAATGTTCTGCAGAATCACTTTTCTGGCCATTAGTCAGTGCCATATCTCAGGAACAGAAGGGGAGACATTTGGTTAGATACTGAATTGGTAATACTAATCTTGGGTGCCCACCTTGAAACTGTGCTTATTGTATAGATCTTCTGTGTGTGAACATCCATATTTTCACAGACATGGATGTAAACTGTGAGTGCAACTTGACTAGTGCAAGGGGGCATACAACCCCAAGGCAGTAATTGCAGTTGTGACTTTTTCTGTTTGTCTCAGGTTTGGGGTAAGCCACCCACCACCAGCCAGCTGATGTCAAAGATAGAGAGACGGAAGGAGCTTCTATCCCTCGAGGTGGACTTTGATGACTTCATGATGCCTTTCAGCCAGAACGTCCAGAGGAAAACGCTGGAGCTGGCAAAAACCACAGAGTAGACCCAAAGGAGGTTAGACAGCAAGAGACACTCAGACATTTTGGTATCTTAGAGCCCTATTTAAATTATCTATAGCTCATGGTCTAAAGTGCAGTTAGGGCATGTCCAACTCCACTTTGCTAGTTAAATGGAGCATAATCTAAAAAAAAGTAAGGCACAAGGGGCAAAGGTTTTGTGTTTGGTCCCTTAATGAATCATAGGTGTGTTTTGGGCACAACAGAAATGGGAGTGTCACACAGCACACTGCTGTTTACATAGTGGATTCAACAGACTGAAGAAGCAAGCAGTTTTCTGCTGAGAGTAATGCAGTAAGAGCAGTAATGTTGCTGCAGCACATATCATATTATATTCAGCAAAACTAAAAATTGCAGTTATTATCCTATCCATTCATTCATCCATCCATCCATCCATCCATCCATTTTCATCTGCTTGTCCGAGGCTGGGTCACAGAGGCAGCAGGCCAAGCAAAGCACCCCAAACATCCCTCTCCCCAGCAACACTTTCCAGCTCCTTCTGGGCGTCCCAGGCCAGATAAGATATGTAATCCCTCCAGCGTGTTCTGGGTCTCCCCGGGGCCTCCTACCTGTGGGACATGCCCGAAACACCTCCAGCGGTAGGCGCCCAGGAGGCATCCTGATCAGATGCCCGAACCACCTCAACTGATCCCTTTCGATGCGAAGGAGCAGCAGCTCTACTTCGAGCTCCCTCCGAATGTCTGAGCTCCTTACCCTATCTCTGAGGCTGAGCCCAGCCACCCCTCGGAGGAAACTCATTTCGCTGCTTGTATCTGTAATCTCATTCTTTCGGTCACTACCCATAGGGCTCATGACCATAGGTGAGGGTTGGGATGTAGATGGACCAGTAAATCAAAAGCTTTGCCTTCCAGCTCAGCTCTCGTCACCACAACGAACCGATGCAGTGCCTGTATCACTGCAGAAGCCGCACCGGCCTCCTGTAATAATTATAGACACTGCATTTACTTTGGGTTTATCTTTGAATTAATCATTGCAGCTGCTTTAATCAACACAGTTAGACATCATGTTACTAAACATTGTTAAAACAATCTCATTATATAGGAATACATTTTTGAGGACAATACAATGTAAATTCATCAAGCTAACTTAGCAAAGGTAGAATTCACTTTTGTGAATAATCAAATGACAAAGTCATGCAGATAATAAGAATGTGAACATTCACTTAAAAATAAAGATAATTCTTAGGTATACACCACTCACTACTGTGAATCCACAATACTCTGCTGGAATTGACTGTATCTCTTGGAAGCTGTAAAACAAAACTCTAACAAATCTAACAGACATATATTTGTCAGTACACTGGAACATGTACTGATTGTAAAGATTTTGTACATAAATACAGAATTGGTGGCTGCTGTGCTTATTTTGCTTTCAGTCTGGTTCTGTTCATCTAGTGCGCACCACACACAACCCAACCTTTAATTCTTCCTGCCTCCAACTACGTCACTGTTGGGTCAAATGATGGAACTGGATGCAATAAGAATGCGGATTCTGCAGCTGCTTTGCTGTATCTTTCAATACAGCACGCATTGAAGAATGCATTGCTACAAATTTCTGTTTTTTTTCTGTCTTGTCTTTTTCCTCTTTCCTTTGTTCCTTTCCTTTTATTTGTTTGTTTCTTTCTTCTTTTCTTCTTTCCTTTCCTTGTTATATTGTTCCTTGCTTTCCTTTAATTTGTCATTTTTTCTGTCTTTGTCTTCCTTTGTTTGATTGTTTCTTTCCTTACTCCCTTTCTGACTTTCTTTTTGCCTTTTGTTTCTTCTTTCTTTCTTTCTTTCTTTCTTATTGTGCATGCCCTTAGACATGTACTACAGTCACACAAAATCAACACATGAACTCATCAAATCATTACTCTTTGTGCACAGGCTCACTGGGTTCAGTTATATTTGATCACCACTGGTCGTCTTTCATTTTTCTTGAACTGACTGCACACCATCAGGTTACAGGCAGAGTAGCACTGTTCCTCAGTCAGATGCAGTTCCATGTAGACACCAGCGCATGGCACTGTTTGGCAGATTAAGCACTGCAGGGGTTTAGTTGTTGATTGAGCTAAGAGAACAAAAAACTTGGGGGGAGCTCTTGTGTTTCAAGCACAGAAAGACATCAAAATGGCAGCCATGTGTATTTACTGTTGTGATGCTAGCTCCTCAGACTGCTCTGAAACAAATCTGAATTTCACATATTATTAAACAGAGGATATTGATACCATTAGAGAACGGATAAGAATTGACCTTACTCCTCCATGTGTTATGTTTGCCTGGATGAACTGACTGCATGTGTAACTTCAGAGTGGCCGACTGGAGCTGAACAGTAGTTGGGTCATATTTTAGTTGTTGACATTCGTATCAAGAATCATCTGAGGAAAACAAATGTGCTATTCTGTGTTAAATGTCGCATTGATGCACACTGCCATCATCACCACCACCATCACCAGATAAAATTAGATTGCAGTGTCCTCAAGGTCCACGGGGACGCAGTTATATAATGGGGGGGTGGGGGGCTTGGCAACACAGGGCCTGGATTGTTTAAATATACATAGTCACAACAGCATTGATGACAAAGATGTGAAGAGAGGAGAGCGATGAGAGAGAGGCAAAGGAGGAGAGAGGAATGAAAGCAGAGAGGGGAGGCAGAAAGAGGCTTGCATATACGTGGTGATGTACAGAAAGAAAAATGCAGACAGTGAACAGAGAATGAAAAACACGCCTGAAAACCCAGCAGAGCCATTCATAATGAGGCAGGAGAGACAAGGAGAGGGGAGGACTGACGGCGAGTGAAGGAAAGGCGAAAGGACGTGAGAAGATGAGAGGGGGTGGAGGGATGGGGATGGAGAAGGAGCAGTGAAGGGTGACTCAGAGGATGGGGAGGGAGCACGGCGGAGGGATGAGAGGGGAGCGGAGGCGTGGGCGGGAGGAGGAGAAGATGAGGGCTTTTCTAGCACAATAAGTGGCACACAGGTTAGAGGGAGTAAACAAGGCTGCTGGCTCTGATTGTTGGCTGTGACGCAGTGTGTCTGTCAGGGCGTGGGCCCGTGCTTATATGGTCCTGCAGTATGTGTGCCTGCGTAGTGAGTATGTTGAAATACTATAGAAGGCTGTTTACATATCAGAATGCTTGTTTTATTCACAATGTGTCATTTAAGGCTCTGTAACATTGACAGATTTGAGGTTTCCTATGTGAATATGCTATGTTTATGTACGCATGTGTGTTATGTATGTAGGCATGTGTGATGAAAGTTTACATTATTCAGGCTCTGCTGTGCCTCATATGAAGAAAACGCTGCAGTGTGTGTTATATTTGTCTGTGTGAGTGGGAGTACTTGTGTGTGTCTGTGTAAGTGTGTACGTACATACTACTAGTGTATATCCAAGGATATCTCTCCTCTCCTCTCCTCTCCTCTGCTGAGTATCAGTCTGAGCACAGATCAGTCTGTGTGTGTGTGTGTGTGTGTGTGCAGCACTGCAGTCTCCCAGCTCTGGTCCTGCACCGCTTACTCAGCACTCAGCACTCCAACCCTTCACTTCCCAAAACAACCCACTGGGACACACACACACACACACACACACACACACAAACACACACACACACACACACACAGTATCACTGTTACCACTTTTAGGCATGTTATTATTACCATCCATTATAGCCTTACTTCCATTAAGTATGCATGCACACAGATGGCCTTGCACATGCATTTTGCATAATCCAGTAATTGCATACTGTATGCAAGCAAGCACAACATATACATGCGAACGCAGATATACTGGTATCAGTCCTCATTTTTTATATAATCGGTGGTAAACATCAGAGACACCCCTCAGTATGAGCCAGTCCAGTTCAACACCACTGCAGACTACAACCTTGGTAATCATACTTTATTATACTTTATTCTACTACTGTATTTGTATTTTTATTCTACGTCTTTATTGTATGTGTTGTGTTCACATGTTGTTGTGCTGGGCAGCGCAAACCAATTGCCCCTTGTGGGATTAATAAAGTTGTCTGAGTGTATAGTTAATTTAAAGCTGCAGTTGGTAACTTTTATAAAAATAACTTTTTGTCATATTTGCTCAAACTATTATGACATCCACACAGTAGTACATGAGACAATGTGAAAAAAACAGGTTTCTCCTCTTCCTCATTGTGCTTCTAATGGAATTTGCTGGAATCTACCACGGTTGAAGGAAAACAACCAATCAGAGCTGTCAATCACTGCTGGTTAACTGCAGTTAAACTGTCAACGTAGGCAGTGCTGAACAAATATGAAAGAATCAATCAATCATTTATTTGTTACATGGAATTATAGAAGGTACAACTCCAGTGAAATGTTATCCCATCAGCTCCTTTAACTTGTGGACTGTAATTTAGTCCTTTTTTGTGTCTTCTGACATTGTTGGCTGCTGCTGTATAATTGTTCATGTTTCTGAATGGTTCTGGTCAGTGTTGGGCAGTCACGTGTTACAGTAATAATATTACTTTTTCGAGCAGTGTAACTAATAAAAAATAAAATTTCAGTAACAATATTACAGTTATCCCATATGCAAATAACACATTACAACGTTACTTTTGTTATCACCCCACTACTGACTTGAAATACAGCAGTCACATCAGCAGATTAATTTTCCTAATCAGCATGTTGTGCCACAAAGCTAGTTTGGAAGATGAAAATGCTTTCAGCAGTTGGAAATATTTACATTACTTTGATTTTGTTGGAAAGAAAGATGACAAGAACACTGCTGCTGCAGGTAGTCACACTAAAACTCTTTGCATTGTGAAAAACATGTTCTCAAACCTTCAGTCTGAAACACCGACTATGACCTACAGCACAACAACACGAAGCTTCAGGAAATACACTCCACCAAAGGTGAGCCCTCCTCAGCTGCAGAGGTTGGCTGTAGCACTACACTGGCTTACAAGGACTTGTTGTTTCAGAGACTCGGGCGTGACAAACTAAAATATTTTCCTG